GATTAAAATTATGATCATAAACACTTGATCAAGAAAAAACCGAATATTTTAATGATATAATTTAATATTAAAGTTTGCACCGTTTCATTATTGAGATGACGTGAAAACATGCATTTTTTAAACTTTAGTTAGAAATTTATCTATACAATCTTAATCTAACGTCAAAACCACTATTTTTTAGTTGGTTATTCGAGTAGTTCGTTTCAGCTCATAATAACGGGTACATGGGTCGCGTTCATCAGGACAAGTTGATCAGTGAGCGATGTGCCATCGAATGGTTGTCCTGCTGAACGCGCTTTTTAGATCAAAATCATAAGTAATGCATATTAAATTGGTTTCACCCATTTTTGGCTGGTAAGGTGGTAAGTAATGTTTTTAGTTCTGAGACCTATATCTCTATCCTAGAAGATAAAAAAGATCATACTTCGAGTATATTCAAGCGTTCAATAATCATAGTAAATTTTAATCAAAGCCTCCTAAGCGAAACCGCTAAACATTTAGAAACACTTACACATACGGCAACACCGTATAGCGGCTTCAAATATAAAATAGGGTGAATATGCCAGTGGTCGGACAGTTTAGAAAAAGCTGAGTTTAAATTGTTGATTAAATTTTCTTTATTGGTGGCATGCAGATTGGAAATGAAATTTTATGAAATAGATAGTGTGGTTATGGGGCTTCGCATTAAATATAGTATGTTTTTTTTTCATAAACCTAGCAATAATTTTAATTATTGTTTTAAGTGATAAAAGTGTTGTTTTGTCAATAGTCGGACAGTGCTTGCCATTGTCCGGCCGGGAGGTTACATAAGTCGGACACTTTGTGATTGGCTGATTCTGCATAGTCCCTTATTTAATATATGTATAATTTTAAAGCAAATTTAATCTTTAACAATATATACCGTTTATCGTTGTGTGTTATCTATATGAAAAAATAATCTTTAAAGATCGCGCACACTATACCTGCACGGACCGGCACGGACCAGACCAGTAAAATCTACCGGTGAAGGTGACCGTGTTATTTAATAGAGTAGAGCACACTAGACCAGTACCAGCACGTACCGCCACAAGCCACGACCGTCAAAACAGGTCGTGTCGGTCAGGGACAAATATGACCGGCAATATTTATGCCTGGTCGTGCTGGTCCTACCTAATGTGCGCACCGGCGAACCAGCACACCTCCACAAACATAGCTAGCTGGCTCAAGTCGCATGATGTAGGTTAGATTTCGTTTATTTTTGTTCGAACCTTTAAATCGTTTTAAATATGAATGAAGAAAAACTTATTTTACTGGTACAAAAGTATCCAGAGCTGTGCGATACGAGCCAAGCATTTTATATATAAAGACCAAGAAAGAAAAGATGCAATATGAGAGTCGATAGCAAAAAAAAAATAATAAAATTTGATTTGTGACATCTGGAAAATATTGGAAAACTTTTCTTCGAATCTTTTTAATTCAGGAACAAATGATGAAATTCGCCATATTGTTTCTTTTTGATTTTATAGGGTGAACCCAAAATCTTCTTTTTTTCTTTTAGCTTCCTTCTCTTCCTCCTCTTCTTCACATAACATGGCTAAAATAATAATTTCTTCCTCTGAACTACTCATTTTCAATACTATGTTGCACGCTCTAGTAGTTGAGCCTTGACAACTGTACTTTTTTCGAAACTCGCTTATGTTGCTGGTCTGTGGCGGTAAAGTGTGCGATGTCATGCAGGATGCAGGTTTGTGCTGTGCTGGTCCGTACTCGGGTCCGTAGGTGTTGTGTGCGCGATCTTTTAAACGATACCAACGCGGTTCATAAAACCATGCTTCCATTAGTAAACAGCGATTTCAATTTTTCTTCTTCTAGATACAATTTTTTCAGCTGCGTGATAAGTAACACTTGTTTTTTTTTATTGGAAATCCGCAAACGGCTAAGTTCTCAATCCAGGTAACATTTTTTTCAATTTCTCTGGTTAAAACAAGTCCTGGTTCCATTAGTTTGCAAACGTCGCTTATTTGTCTTTCATACGGTCCTGTACTGTTGACTTGGAATCCTGTACTGACTGCATGTTTTACGCGATTTTCCTTCTTCTCGGACAGTTCGGACTATTTTTTCTAATGCATCTTTATTGTATTGATGAAAATACACTTTTACTTTAGGGTTCATGTTTGAAAATAACCAAAATCTCATAAAAAATCAGTCTGAATCTGAACTCTGCAATATGACGTCGAAAAAGGGCCACTGTCCGACAGTCCGACGTCTTAAATATTAAATCTCTTTAGCGTTGACTAGGGGTGATCGGACAACTTTTATTTCCTTTGATCTGCATTTGTGTTGAGTTTTTGCTGTGCGACCACTAAACACTACCAAAAACTAATGTTTCATTATATTTGAAAAGTAGTAGATTATCAAGAAAAAGACCAAAACAAAAGAGTTTCCATTTGTCGGGCACTTGTCCGACTACTCTGGACTTAAACCAAAATTATATTATCGGACACCTAAATTAAACATTAAATATTAAAAAGTATCCTTTTTTGTTATTTGAAATAAAAGTTTAGACTATATTCTACATACACGTAAAGTTATAGGTACTTCATAAATTAGATACAACATTTTTAACTTACCTTACAAACTATCTCACCTCCATCTTTAACAGGCAAAATTAGGAAGCACAAACATGTAGTCACTTTCCCGAATTTTTAACGGTTCAGGGTGACAATTTAGACAAAGAAAATGTTATAGAGCAAAGCGGAAGAATTGACAGAATTGGCCGGCTTTTAATTATTTGAAGTATATAAAGCGGCCCATACATTAACAAACAAATTGCGCAACACAGGATGTTGCGCAACGAGTTGCCAATGGCGGGCCCTGCGTTTTTAAGAGTTTAATTTTGTGCAACGGACCGCTGTTGAAAGCAACGTGCGTTGTGCGCGCGTGTGTTGCGCTTCGTTGTGCAATATTTTTTGTTGCCATCAGTCGGTTTTTTAGCGGGACGCTTGTTTCTCAAACAATGCACAACTTTAATAAAAAGTTTGGACCAAAATGTTACCAAGTGTATAGGTGATGATGGAGTTGTGCAACGCCACGTTGCGCATCGCTTTGTTGCGCAATTTGTTTGATAATGTATGGGCCGCTTAAGTTATATTTTTAACTTATTTCCAAATAAGTACGTTTTGTCCGACAACTGGTGTATGTCCAGCTACTGGCATATTCACCCTACTATACATGATCAGATCAACCAAAAGGTCAACCTCATTTTTTGGAGATTCACAGTATATTAAAAACAAGAAAAAATATTGTGTTGATTATATCTAATAACAGATAAAACCATGGTCTCGTCACAAAAAACCTCGTTGATTACCTAGAATCAGTTAGGAAACAAGCATTTTAGACTCAAAATTTATTTTAGGGGTATTTTAAGAAGTATATAGTAACAGCTATGATAAAAATTGAAGTTTTCCAAGGCTCCTGATTAAAGGAGCCATGTGGCATTCTAGATTGAAATTTAAATACACATTTTGTCTGTTGAAAATGTCTTCTTTGTCTTTGTCTGTTGAAAATGTCAAAAGTTGACATATGATATGTCATATGTCATTCTATTCAAAGTGTCATTTTCATCGAATATAGTAAAAATAAACCGAGGAGGGTGCCATTTTTAGCCATTTGCCGTTTAGCGAGGGTGCCGTTGTAGCCATTTCCGGTGAAACAGGAAGTGATCAAAGACAATTGAATACGTCAATCAATGTTAATGTCATATACAGTGCATATACTAACGTACCAAATCTGTTTTTTTAAGTGAAGAGATAAAAGTTATAGGGTGAGTGAGCCACTTTGAGACGCACCTGGTATGTAAGCATTTTATGCTAAATCCAACTCTGTACATAAAAATCGGGATTGCAAAAAAATAGAACTTTATCATTACATATTTTTTGGAACACCCTGTATGCAACAAAATATTTTAAGGATACGCACCTTTTAAACTTTATATCTGTAATAAAAATGAAAATATTGGACTTTCTCGCACTATTGGACCATCCTGTATACCTACTTAGCACTACTTAGCAGATTTATTTTAACCTTTTATTTATAAACATCGCTGCAAAAGAATTTTAAAATATTCTACTGTACAGTTCTCTGTTTGTTTATTTAGTGTTCTACTATAATGGAATTAGAATGCATGAAATCTCCATTTTTCCGATTTTTTAAAATACTATACCTAATCTATTTCCATCGAGACAGACATCTTAATGGCATTCTTTTTCTTTTGTTCCCATTAAAAACAAACCAATTGTTATTTCATGTAAGATGTTGGCAAATAATAGCGACAAACTATTTCGAACTAGAATTAAGGAAGTCATAAAATCATCGAAAGTGGATTGTTTCGTAAGACAAATGTGATCTGATTCTCTGATCTGATGCTACGCTTGAAAAATGTGAAATTCTTCGGTTTCTCCAGCTTTTCTTCTGGAATCGTAGGTACCAGATTAGGAATTATTTTATTTAAAATGTGCACTGAGACGCCATCTGTTGGCGGAGCTTTAAACCTCTCTTTACAAGTGCAAAAGAATTCTATAATAGTACTGTATCTGGTTCCATACTTCACTTCTGCTTGTAAATATCGATTTTCAAGCCTACAATCCTGATTTATAAAATCCTTAGATTATATTACTAAAATCAACAGAGATATATTCACAAAGAGTCAATTAAATTTAAAAATGATTTAGCCATGTATTATTTAGTTATAATTTTTTTTATATTTTAAAAAAAAAAAAATTACAAAAAATTAAAAAAATTTTGGTGCCATCTGTCTTTTAGTAGCTCATACGTTTCAAATTAAAACAATAAACATCTATCTTTATTAAAATAAATCTACCCTAACGGAACTAAAAACCCCGCCTTATAAAGTAGTACTCCTCTAATGAAGTTTATCATAACAATTTATTATTATTTTAAAATGACAGGCAAAAATATCGTTTTAATTGCGAACATTTATTACGTGTATGGTATACAGATGACGTAGTCTGACGTTTTAATAAGAGCTATTTTTGAATTCAGTGAGTAACGATTTAAAATTTAACTCATCTGTCAAATCTCGCGTAGGAATATTCGTAGGAACCGTTTCGTTCCTTCCCGCAAAAGATCTGTCAGTTGAATCATCTTACATGTGGTGTTCGCCGGTATTTTTCTAGTAAAATCGCGTAATATCGTAAATAAGTTTAACTAAGAAAGTAACAAATACATACACGATGCACCAAGAAGCTATTCAACTTATACAAGTATTAGAAAAGACCATATCACCGGGTAAGTACAAAGTTGATGTTCGTCAGGTTGCCAATTAACTTTCGTGTCATTTCCATTTTATCCTTGTTTATCAGTAAAATGCTATGGAAAGTACACTTCTAATTATGATGAACATTATTTATATCGGTTTACTATAAACATGATAACCTTCAATCGATTTGAGGTCAGCAGCCTATAAACCATCCCTGCCAATCTGCTTAGGGCTTGTGGAAGAAAGAGGATCACATCTATAACAATATATCTGGAAAGTTTAAGAAGACTGGACAATATCATTGCTGTTCATTTTTAACTCTCTTAATTATCCTTGTTTTCCTGTTCTATTCTTTATAATTTATCATTTTAACATTTCCAAGTCAGTGTATACAAAATATCTTATGATTTTTCTTAATATTTGTGGTGTAGATATAATTCATATTCACGTTTTGATATTATAGATAAAAATGAATTGGAACAAGCTTCAACATTCCTTGAACAAGCAGCAGCAACAAATGTGTTAGGTTTTATTAAAACATTGTCGGATATTTTGAGACATGGAGGTAATAGCCCTGTCGCCCGAATGGCTGCAGGTCTGCAGCTTAAAAATCATCTTACATCCAAAGATCCAAATATTAAAGTGCAATATCAACAAAGATGGTTGTCTTTTCCTGAAGACATCAGATCATACATTAAGAAGAATGTAAGTAATCACCAAATCTAATGAAGTTCATTGTTAATAAGGATATTTTTTAAGGTGGTCGGTGCATTAGGAACAGAAACAAATCGTCCTTCTTCAGCGGCTCAATGTGTTGCGTATATAGCAGTTACTGAATTGCCTCAGAGACAATGGCCAGATCTTATTAGTACATTAGTTAATAATATACTGAATGCAACATCTGAAATGCAGAAAGAAGCAACATTGGAAACTATCGGATATATTTGTCAAGTAAGAATATTAACATCATTATAAGATATCGGAATTATTATTGAATTTTTTGTGGAAATTGACTGTGACGTACTGGTATCTCAATCAAATGATATTCTAACTGCTATAGTACATGGAATGAGAGTGACAGAAACTAGTAGTCATGTTCGATTAGCTGCTACACAAGCTCTCCTCAATTCGTTGGAATTTACTAAAGCAAATTTTGAACAACCCACTGAGAGGAACTATATCATGGAAGTTGTTTGTGAAGCCACACAATCAGCTGATACTCAAATTAAAGTAAACTTGTTTTGTAACAATAAATATACTCATATTTATTTGTAATGTGTTTATTGTAGGTCGCTGCTCTACAATGTTTAGTAAAAATTATGTCACTCTACTACCAACACATGGAGACATATATGGCACCTGCTTTATTTCCCATAACTTTGGAAGCTATGAAATCAGAAAATGATGCTGTTGCTTTACAAGGAATAGAATTTTGGTCGAACGTAAGTGATGAGGAAGTTGACTTAGCAATTGAAGATACTGAAGCTCAGGAAGCTGGCAGGCCACCTTCTAGGTATGTGGTATTTATTTCTCTTCTTAAAAAATGATTTCAGTATTGCATTTTTATATTCTTATGTGTTTTATATTCAAGTTCTGAATAGTGACAAAATATATATTTATTCTCAATATTCACATCTAATGTTATTGTATGATTCTAATTTGCCAATTCTAATATGTACAGGGTCTCATTTTTTATCCATTGTTCCAAAATGTATAGTATGGCACTCACAGTCACAGTGCACATTTTTCAAAATATTTTAGTTAGTATACCTGCTTACAGTGTAACAAACTTATTTCTAAACTTAAATTGTAATCTTTTATGTAGATTGCTGCATTCTCTTTTACTCAATGGTTTTATCGTTAGAAAATTAATTCCAAAATATTTCAGTGTTTCTATAAATATAAACAAAAATTAAATTCAAAGCAAACAAAACAATAACAGTTAATCCGCTTTGTACAATCCTAAAAACACATAAAACTTGAAATTATGGGATATAAATGTGAGTGAAGATGCAACATATTTAGTGTCCTAAATGAATAGTTTCATTGGTCTCTCAAAATTATTGACAAAAAAAAAACATTTTGAAATATGTACTACCACTATCTTCACATTTAGGGAAATAAGTTAGTATTAAATAGTATTTTAGAGGTCATGCAAAATAAAAACCATTGCACGCCATCGAATACACTAATAAATGTGTTCAGTGCTCCCACAATTTGTTTTAAATTTACTGCTCAATTTTGTGTTGGCAAAGCAAAGGAAGCGGTTGTAGCAGTGCCATGTTTATTTGACATTTGCCAGCATTTTCTGAAAGTTTTAGTTGAGTGTTGTGTCTCATGTGTCTTGTTTTATATATGTATGTATGTCTGTTGTTTTATATATTTGTTTAAAACAGGGTATTATATATTTTTGGTATGTAGGCGTTTTTTTTTTCAATAAAGAATAAGAAAATCTCTTTCAACTATTTAATTAAAAAACAACTAATACAAAAGGAATGAAAAGCAAAGTAATCAGCTCAACATAATATTGTCTAAAAAACTACTTGCTACCACTAGTTACTCAACATATTTCTTAACTTTGAGTGTCATCTACAGAATATAGTTTAAAACAGAGTATAAAACAAGCGTTTTAAACAATAAAAAACACGTTTTGTTAAAAATTGTTCAGCCCTGCCTGAAACTGTTTAAAGCTGTTATCAATTTAAAGTTTATTTAGCATCTTTAATAGATCTTATGTATTGTAAATTTTTCTGCAAATATTTCTCCGACACCGGCAACAACGCTAACATGTATGCATGTGCTCGATGACGCAATCTAAGTTTCTTTTTAATTTGTATGACGTTTATGTGTACCTCTGAATGATAAATGTTTGAAAAAGTTAAAAAAAAACAGACTCTACAAAATCAAACAGCATTAATAAAAAATATAATAAAAAATACATTATTTCTAAATAAATAGGCTTATATCTGGTGGTCATATTTTATATAGCCAGACATATTACTATTTTTAATGATGAAATATACATACTAGTGTATAAGTTCTATAAAAACTAAATATAAATAAGAATTTTAGAGGTGAAATTGTATTTAATATTGTATAATAATTCAGAACGATAGGGAGCAACGACCCAGCTACGTCGAAACACCGGTTCTTGATAGATGACGATGACCAAGTTAAGCGACGTTAAACGATACGAGTTGATGGCCGGGTGATCGTCTTAAGCCGCGTCCAAGCTACTCGAACAAAATGTTCGCGAACATATATAATTAAACAGATATTAGAGTGAAAATTGTGAGATAGGTAGATTTATAAATAATAAAGCCAACAAGTACACCTAGCTTAGGCCTATTAAGGAGCGCAGAGCGCCGAACGGCTAGCTCGTACGCCAGAGCGTGCGTCTGCCTATGCTAGAGCGCGCGCGTTCTTTTTCCGACGGGTGTCGGTAAATCAAAAGGAGCGAACGGCGTGCATTTCGGCGGACATTGTACCGGACACTTGGAAGAGTCTCATTTAATTTCGGGCGTCTATCTGTGATTTTTATTTTTTACCGAGTATTCGACAATGGGAGACGCAGTTATTGACTGAAATCGACCGAAAACTAATTTGTTTACACAAAGAAAAGATTTTATAATTTTAATTTTATTGTGGGTTGAGTGTGAATAGCTATGTAGCTAGACTTCGTCCATATAATTTCATTTTTGTTAATAAAGACCTTTATGATTATTTTTATTAAAAAACCGGAATTATTATGGGATTCTGAAATTAAAAATTACTACTTAATAGGAAGTTTGACATCGGAAATGAAATTTTACCATTACATATTTAGAAATAATATATCGGGTGTTTCTGAAAAGTGGTTCACTTCTATAACTTTTAATTTTAGATAAAACGAGATTTGGTATGTTAGTAGTGACATATAATCGGGATTGATCGACGTTTTCATTTATTTTCGGTCACTATCTTTTTCACCGGAAATGACAACTACTTTTGATTTAAAATGGTACCCTCGGTATTTTTACCGTATATGATATATAAACATTATTCTAAATAGAATGATATATTATATGTCAAATCTTGACATTTTCAATTTAAAATGGCCATAAATAAACGTAACAACAATTTTACCCAAATACCAAGTATGTGGTACCAAATTATTCGTAAAAAATGCTTTTTCCAAATATGCTGAGCCAGCCTTGTACCATTTGGAAAAATTTGAGTTATCATTAAAAATAACATTTGGGCATCTTTTAAGGGGCCATGAAAGTATGAAAAATTACATGATCAAATATATCTTTCCAAAGTTCTTTGATTACAAATTAATAGTTTTAACTCAGTCTTGGCACTCTAGATTGAAATTTAAAATGCTATTTTTATTTAATTTGGAATTGTCTAAAAATTGACGTATGGTATGTCATTCTATTCAGAATGTCATTTTCTATCAAATAAAGTAAAAAAGTACTTAGGATATAGTCTAAAAATACAAAGCGTGTAGTCATTCCGGTGAAACAGGAAGCGACCGAAGGTAATTGAATACGTCAATCAATCCTGATTTATGTCATATACCAATAAACCAAATTTTTGTTGTATTATCTGAAAAAATAAAAAAGTAAAAAGTGAGGCCCTTTTGAGAAACACCTGGTAGAATCGGCTGAAAATGAATACAGTCTTAAAAATAAATACACTATAACTAATAATCTACCAAAAGACACCTGTAACCCTCCGCCTGCTAAATATTAATTCTTAACGACAAAAGTTCTTAAACTGTTTACCGGTTAATTTATTTAATAAAATGCTTGCACTCGAAAAAACAGCTACTACCTAAACGCATCCTAGATCTATAGAGCAAACTGGTTGTCGCATTCTTCCCCGCACCACAGTCCTCGGGACCGATGCGATGGGCTGTGCCGTCGTTTACGACCTGCTGCTACGAGTATATAGTGTGAATTATATATGTTCGCGAACGTTTTGTTCGACTAGCTTGGACGCGGCTTTATGTACATTAATACATCTGATCTTTTTAAACTAATCATAACTTTTAGAAAACATGCCGATAAAACAGTTTCTATTGAACCTTTTAACACAAAATAATCCAAATTTATTATGTCAGTCCAATAACTATCTTATCAACATTTTTTGAGTGAAACTTTTTACGCGCGCTGGAGTAAAAAATCAAGGCCGTGTCACACGAGCTAGCGAGACACAGCGTCTACGCCAAAAACTATTTTTACGTAAAAACTATTTGAAATACGAAAAAAACTATTTTTACGCAAAAAAAAAATATTTTTCAATTTATTACTTTTTCAACATTTCAAGCAACACTTTTTAAAACATGCTTCAAATCTTACAATTTAATAGTTGTTAGTAAGAAGTTTCACTTCAGATATGCACACATAATGCCCACACAATTCTTTTTATTTTTGGTCCTTGATGACATGTACTGATTGACTGTTACCTGTTACCATGAAACCCCTTTTTGCATAAAAAACGGTGGAAATGTATATTTATTTTCCCTTATTAGTTTAACTGCTATTCGGAATTCGCTATTGCATACTACTTAAAACAAAATAAAGTTTTTTTTTTTTTTTTTTAAAAATTAGATATTCTTTTATACTTAAAAATAGCCATGTAGTTCCAAAGATTATTATTTTTAAAATATTTTTTGTATGAGTCTCTGCAAGTCATTATGCAAAAGGAGCTTTTACAGTTTATTGTGCTGATTTTATTACAAAATTAACAAAACAGGAAGAACTTGATGATGAGGACGATTGGAATCCTAGTAAAGCAGCTGGAGTATGTTTAATGCTTTTAGCTACATGTTGCGAGGATGAGATTGTTCCCCATGTTTTGCCATTCATTAAAGGTTTGCACAAAATATTTCCATTTATTTTTGGGTTTCACAATTTCTATTTATTTCTGTTGATTATAGATAATATCAAGTCAGATAATTGGAGATTTAGAGATGCCTCTTTAATGGCGTTTGGGTCAATCCTTGGCGGACTAGAAAGTAATACTCTAAAACCACTGGTTGAACAAGCTGTACCCACTCTAATTGAGCTTATGTATGATAGCAGCGTAATGGTACAGTGTAGTGCATTTTTATAATTCTGAAGGAGTATTTGCATCCCATCATTTTTAGGTCCGCGATACTGCAGCGTGGACATTCGGTCGTATATGTGAAATCATACCCGATGTGGCAATAAACGAAACATTCTTGAAACCACTCTTGGAAAGTTTAATTACAGGACTGAAAGCTGAACCCCGAGTAGCTGCCAATGTTTGCTGGGCTTTCTCAGGTACTTGTATAGAAATATATAATATACAGGGTGATTTACGGCTATGATCATTAACCAAGACGGTTATGGAGAACCAGTTATAGGATTTTATAAAAATTTTTTAGAAATTTATAGGTTTTTTGCATAAAGGCACCTGCTGCATCTGTCTAAATATTTCAGCGTTACAGTGTTGCCGCTGCATACTAAAAAGTGGTAGTATTTTTGGTATATTATTACATATTTCTCGAACTACTATATCTCATAATTTTTTCTATTATTATTCAACCTATACCTATCTCTTTAACAGTTTTGAGATAAAAATAAAAACGTAATTAAAAAATTACGCCACAAGCGCTGGTCAAATCATAAATTGGGCACATTGAAAGCTGAAATTTGGTTTATAGGTTAAGGGAAATCGATTTATTTGACCTGTCTAAATCAACCGATTAGATATCAAATGGGGAGATCAAAAAATATTTATTTTTGTTTGTTATAAAATCGCTTAAATCATTGTTATTTAAAATTTAAGTTTGTGTATATTATTTAAAAAATAGAAACATAAATAAAATTTCTTTTCAACGAATTATCATGTTCCTATACCTAAATATTTTCGTTTGTTTAGTAATGTTATTTAAAAGATAATCATTCAATTATAATTCTTACGTTTAAAGAAAGTGCTTACCATGACAAATATTCAAACTGTATTTGTATCAATTAAACTTTATACTTGCTAAATTTCTAAAATTGTCATGTCAACGAAATTCTTGAAACTATAGTAGAATTATTAACTTTGAAATATATCTACTTAAAAAACTGGAAGGTTTAGGTATAATAGGAACATGATTAGTGATGGGATAACTCAAGCGAAAATTTGCTCAAGTACTCGATTATTGTAATAACCGACATCGCTTATGAACGATGCAAGTGACGAGTACCAAGCGACGAACGCAAGCGATCCTAGAATGAAATAAATTGAAATGTGACATACTCTGTAAAAAGCCGAGCGAATTTTCTACATACATTGCAGGTAGCAAATTTATACGACGCCGTATATATATTTATCCGTTGCGTATCTGAGGAACAAAATTTTACGACCTATATCGACAATGCTTCGAAATAAACTAAATCAAGCGAATCGCTCGCCGCTTGCTACTTGCCATTCATCACCGAAAAAATATGTGCCCTGCGCACGCAACTTACTGCTTGGCGCTTGGCGTGAACGAGTACTTACACCAAGCGACGGGTGAAAGCCGTATTTTTAAATACAAGTGATATTTCGCTCGAGCGATCACTCGGTTATTGCAATCGCTTGAAACTCCAGTACTCGATTATTGAAATTAATCGGTTTTTCCCGTTCACTAAACATGATATGTTGTTGAAAAGCAATTTGACTTTTCTAAAAATATACATGGGGTTGAATCCAAAATAACAAAGGTTTGGACAGTTTTATAACAAATGGAAATATTTTTTTGATCCCTTCTTGTGTAATATTCAATAGGTTGATTTAGACAGATCGGATATATCGACTTTCGTTAACTTATAACTCAAAATTCAACTTTAAAAATGTCCAATTCACGATTTTACCAGTGTTTATTCAAGATCATGTTTTCGTCATTTTAACAGATATTTTATTTTTATCACAAAAACTACAACAGATAGGTATAAGTTAGTATAATATAAAAATTATGAAATAATTTTTTTTTTTTTTAAAAATGTAATAATATCCCATTTAAAAATAACAAAGATGCTGCAACTTTTCAAATAATCTGTAACACTGTAACGCTGGATAATATTTAGATATATGGAGCAGGTGCCTTTATGTAAAAATCCGAATTATCAAGAAAATCCTATCACCGGTTTTCTATAAACGTCTAACGTATCATAGTCGTGAATCACCCTATATAATAGATATACTAAACTAATCTAATTCATTTTTAACATATTTTTAAAGGTCTGGCGGAGGCGGCGTATGAAGCGGCAACCTGCGATCTAGTTGGAGAAGAAACCACTCCCGAAACATACTGTTTGTCACCATTCTTCGAATTTATTGTTCAGAGGTTAATAGTAGAGTTTTCTAATTGAATGAAATATTAAAAGTGTATTTACAGATTATTAGAAGCTACTGATAGGCCTGACGGAGCTCAAGCCAATCTCCGACCTGCTGCATACGAAGCTTTAATGGAAATGATTAAAAATTCGCCTAGGGATTGCTATGTAACTGTACAAAAAACTACTATGGTTATTTTGGATAGACTGCAGCAGGTAAGGGCGAGTAGTTCAAATGGACTATAGAAGGTAAACAGATCATTAACGTACTAATATTTAGGTACTTCAGATGGAATCACAAATCAGTAGTCACAGCGACCGTTCGCAGTTCAACGATTTGCAATCCTTGCTATGTGGTACTTTGCAGTCAGTTTTGAGAAAGGTTACACCAGAGGACGCTCCTCAAATTTCAGATGCGGTGAGTGATCTATTTAAGTATACTAAGGGCTGGCAAAGGTTAGCTTTGGGTCGATATTTCCGTATGTAAGAAGAGTATGATGCGATTGTAATGTAAATCGAATAACAGAGAGAGAACATTAAAAATCAAAGCTGCCAAACGTACGAAATAAACCGAGAGTCTGTTCACATTGCTAAGAGACGTGAGACGTGGAATAGGATTCGTCACAACAGATTCGTCGCGGTCAACCGGTAGACCCAATCAGTACCTAAAATTTTAGAGAAGGGTGATTATCATGCATTCAGCTTTACAATTTATTACGTACGTGGATACTTTATTTGTTTATTTATTAACGAGTCTTTGTAATTTTCTCTAGTTTGTAAATTTTTAAGTGTAACTTAGAAACACTTGCACTTTTGTAAAAAATAAGTGGAATTGAGTTGATGTTTGACAGTGGTCGCGCTATTAAAACTCAAAATCGATATTTCAAAATTCATTAGAAACGATTGATTATAGTGTTTTTCAAAACTTTCTTAATATTTCTGTGGGTTATATTTTCTTTCGCAGACAGTATGTGAAAATCTTTGCAACAAAAAATTACACTGCTGAAAATTGATATGCACTAAAATTAAATGGACAGTTTTTTTTAAATTTTTGAATTTGAACTAAAACAACAAATCTATCGAGTTTTCCTCATTTAAACATCTTGTAAAAGATCCGAACTTCAAAAATAAAAAACATCAATATATAAAAGTGGTTCTTGAGTTATCGCGTGTTCTGTATTAAAAAGTTGAGTTTTTAAATTATTGCGATTACCGACGTTTTCGTTATAAAAAAATATGGACACCCTAACAATATCCTTATAATTCCATTTCAGATGCTCAGAAACATATCTAATGATTTTATCTAGTTATGTTGAAAAAAAGTCTTTTAAAAATAAGCGGTTCGCGATCGTGATTTTACTTTACTTGATAGGGAAAGACGTACCGGAGATTTGGCAACGTCGCAACAGCACTTACCCGTCGCATTTCTCTCACTCCGACTTAATAAGATCCCTATGCGATTTACTTCCACACATGTTAATATCGACCCAAAAGTAAGAGTTGCCGGTATGTACCAAATAACTTATTAACGTTAACTTTTTTTCAGGTCATGACAGCTCTTTTGACCATGTTCAATTCTCATAAAACTGGAGGTGTTCAAGAAGATGCTATTATGGCTGTTTCTACTTTAACAGAGGTTTTAGGAGATGGTTTCTTAAAATACATGGACGCTTTCAAGCCGATTTTATATCTTGGCCTGAAAAATCACCAAGAGTATCAAGTAGGTGTTTATTTTTAAAAATTATTTTCATTCCTTTGAATAAAAAAGATTTAAGGAAGGGAATATAATGCTATTCAGTCATTTTCAGTGTTTAATTAATTTTGACACATTTGAATTGATTTGAAATTTTGTGAATTTGTCAGTGTTTACTGCGCTTTTTTTATGTTATTTATTATTTATTCTACTACTGATAGTTGTTTAGTAGTAAATCTAGAACGAAATTGTTAACAGTTACATCTATTATGATTTATCAAAGACTAAAATAGTTGGCTGTGTAGCGTGCGGTAGATCTAGGTCAAAATCGAGGGAAATAATGGAATAACTTTTCGCTAGTAAGTGACTATTATATATATACATACATGTAGTAAACCGATCATTTATGAAATTCATTTAAAATTAACTAATTTTTTCTTGCATTTTTGCTTTTGTTTACTACATGTCAAAGCGAATTTAGATACGTCAATTTGACTTACCTGTTTGCAGAAGCGTTTTGGATGTTTGTGTTAATAAATAAATTATTATAACTTATCTATTTTTATCAGAATTTTATATTTTTATAAATTTTAATTCACTCAACATTTATTGACAACGTAAAAATAAAACAAATTATTGAGTCTACCCCATCGCCCACCTTTACATCATATTTTTACACGCTTTTGAATAAAATTAGAACGGAACTGATAAACCGGAATTAAAATCGGCCATTTCCGTCGGAGTCCTGCCGGCCGGGGTCGATCTACGATTTTTGATATGCTCATTTTTAAGCTTTTTATTAAAAGTTTTCAGTACATAATTGTTTTTCTTTTCCGTTTAGGTTTGTGGCACTGCAGTGGGTCTTACTGGTGACATCTTCAGGGCGTTAAAAATTAAGGCCTTGCCTTATTGCGATGAGATCATGACACTTTTGTTAGAAAATCTTGGGGAGCCTACCGTTCATCGGAGTGTAAAGCCGCAGATCCTCTCAGTTTTTGGTGATATTGCTCTGAGCATAGGAACCGAATTTAAAAAAATATTTAGACATAGTTTTAGCTACTCTAGCCCAAGCATCCCAAGCGCAGGTAAAGGCACGTTATTTCTTTCACTTTTTTTTATAATCAGTCACACATTTTTAAGCGATAAAGAAATACTTGTGTTTCACCAAGTTTCAAATAATTTAAATCAAAATGAAAAATATCTAAAGGTTTTTGTTTGCTACCAGTTACAAAAACATTTTCAAGAAGATAATTAAAAGATTGGTGTTTTATCAATCAACCTACTCTAGATTTCTGAAATTATCTTCTTTACATTATACTCTGATTCTAGTTATAAAATATGATAATTTTGGTGACATATCTGACAAATTTATATAAATTTGAAATATTTTTTTGTTAGATAAAGAAAGAAATGCGAAGCATTGGTGTAGTCTCTCTGAAATATAATAAATTTAAAAAACTAATATTTTTATTGGTTTGTACAGGTTGATCGTACCGACTACGATATGATTGACTACCTAAATGAATTGAGAGAGGGCGTTCTAGATGCTTACACTGGGCTCATTCAAGGTTTAAAAGGCGACAGTAACACTCCTTCTGGCGACATTTCCCTCTTAGAACCCCACATACCGTTCATTATCCAGTTTATCACAGTTGTTGCTCAAGATTCTGAGCATTCTGATGGCACCATGGCCGTAGCTGCAGGTAGGTTCAATATATAAGTACATATAAAGCTAGTAAATAAATTTGTGTAAAGAGAGTGACGGCAACAACATGCATAATACTATAAACAACTCCACCTATAGTCTATTTCTAGAAGCTTGAGAGCACAAGACTCTTATTATAAATGGAAAAGGCGTTTTGTTGTGTACTGTGTGACATGTCAAAAGATGTAACTTTCAATTTCATTTTAAGGGTATACGTTCTGCTGAAATTCAGACAACCACTACAATTCTATTCAGAGTTTTATTTTCTATCGAATAAAGTAGAAAATACCGAGGGTACCAAAAAATCAAAAGTTGTAGTCATTTCCGGCGAAACAGGAAGTGACCAAAAACAATTGAATACGACAAACAATCCTAATTTATGTCATACCCGTGCTGGCCACTGTTACTCTTTGGGTCGGTATTTACATGTGTTGAAGTAAATCGCATAGGGATCTTATTAAGTCGGAGTGAGAGATGTGTGACGGCGTGCTATTGCGGCGTTGCCGGTACGCCTTTCTCTGTCAAGTAAAGTAAAACCACGATCGCAAACCGCTTATTTTAAAAAAAAAACTTTTTTCGAAAAGATAACTAGATAAAATCATTAGATATGTTTCTGAGCACCTGAAATGGAATTGTAAGGATATCGTTAGGTTGTCCATTTTTTTATAACGGAAAAACGTCAGTAATCGCGATAATTAAAAACCCAACTTTTTAACACATAACACGCTTAAGATAACTTAAGAACCACTTTAGTATTGAAACTTCTTTTTATTTTGAAGATCGGATCCTTTACAATATGTTTAAATAAGAAAAATCTTTATAAGGTTGTTTTTTCATTCAAAATTTTAAACCCATCCATTTACTTTTAGTGCAACGCAAATTTCAGCAATCGTGTAACTTTTTTATTTACAAAGATTTTCACATACTCTCTGTGAAGAAATATAGCAGAAATGTTAAGAAAGTTTTTGAAAACTACAATCAATTATTTCTAATAGATTTCGAGTTATCGATTTTTGAATTCAGAGTTCTAATAGCGCAATCACTGTCTAACACCAACTCAATTCCAATTTATTTTTACTAAAATGCAAGTGTTTCTAACTTTGCACTTCTAAAAATTTTGAAGCTATAGGGAAAAATTACAATGACTCGTTAATAAATAAACAAATAAAGTGTCAACAGACGTAATTAAATTGTGAAGCTGAAAGCATGATGTACACCTTTCCCTAGAACTTGGCAATTAACAGAAGTATTGATTGGATCGACCAGCGACAAATCTGATCCCCTTCCACGTCTCTTAGCAATGTGCAAAGTTTCTCGATTTATTTCACATGTTTGGCAACGTGTTTACTGTTTTCTCTTTGTTCAGTACATTATAAACGCATTGTACTCTTCTTACATACGGAAATCTCGATCCAAGTCTAACCTTTGCCAGCCCTTAGTATACTAACATACCAAATTTCGTTTTTTTATCTAAAAAAAAAGTTAGAGGGATGAGCCACTTTTGAGACGCACCCCGTATACTCAGGTGAAGTTGTATATTTTCTTTCATACAGCTAGTACAGAACTACAATTGGCGTTGACTATTTCTAGGTCATTGATTGACATGAAAGTTTTTAACCCCTATAAACTAACCTTTATAGGGTATTACTTATATGGTTAATATGTTTGGATTTAAAAGTAAAATTACTTATAGTTTGGCAACTTCAAACTTATAACATTTGTTTTTGAATATAAAATGTTTATAGGGGCGAACTCTGCATTTGAATTAGAATGTCACAACTGCCCAAAACAATAAAAACTATTAGTAAATTTTCCCATTACTATGAAACTTGAATTAACTAATGGGTTATTTTTATTTACAGGCATTATTGGTGATTTATGTGTATGTTTTGGAGCACCCATGCTCCCTCTGCTAGATTTGGAACCGATCAATGAGATGTTGTCTCAAGGTAGAAGATCGAGGGTTCAACGCACAAAAGGCCTGTGTAATTGGGCAACTAAAGAACTGAGGAAGTTGAAGAGTCAGCAGGGTGGCCAGACCACGGCTCCTGCGGCTAGTTGGTAAGAATAATTCTTTCTTATTAGCTTATAGTGAGTACAAGACAGTTGAATTGTGTAATTATAATAGCGTGTTGCATTAATATTTTCTTGGTGTAATATGGTTGATTTATTAAGTTTCATGTTAAGTAGATTTAATTAGGGCATTCAATCCCGGACGAAATTTTCAATCCCATTATTTCGGGATTATGTTATTATTTATGAAAAAATCTAGTAATTTTTTGTATTTATGTGTTTTGCAGTCAAAAGATGGCATCGATTTATATTTAAAAATATTGTAAGATAATTTTTTATAGTTGTTATTTTGTTATCATCTATCAGGAATTGCTTTTATACTTCTTATAGTTACAATTGATCATTCACAATAAATGCTCTTATTGTTCTTGACATGCTTCACTGATTTACTAGTGATTTTTTATTCAATAGGAAACTAGTAGAAGTGCAACAAAAGTTCTTTTGATAATGTTAAAATAGTAAGTTTGTGATGTGTATTTATTTTTAAATTGTTTGGTATTCGTGTTTTTTGGTGTCTGCTAGATGCATATTTACCTTAAATTGTTTTAATAATTATACTAACTATAGAAAGCTTAAGCTATGGACTGATGTTACTAAATTGAGCATGTTTAATAGGTTTTAGCATGGTGTTAAATTCCAATGGCGTTACATTTAGTATAAAATAAATTTTAGTATTTTAGTGTACAAAATTATATTATTAGTGATCACAACATGGACTAAAGATGACTAGCTGCAATGAATAAGCTGTGATCCCGGATTCTATATTCTATTGGAAAAATTACAAATTATTGGTTTTCAAGTTCACTTCGCACTTGAAAATTAACCAAGGCGTGTGTTGACATGCGTGAAAAAAACAAAATACTCAAAAGACATGGTTCTGGCCGAAAAATAGCGTTTTAGGAAAATTTGCTGACAAAATTATTCCACGGTGTTTTAAAGTTAGGGTAAAAAAGGCCCCTTCGATTAACCCTGTATAATAAGCAAATACTAGAGTTTATATACCCAGTTTATAAGTTAAAGTTGATATATTTATATACAGTTTGCTAAAAATATCATGAAAATTGGTCTAAAATTACACAACACCAATTTGACAAAAAAAAATCCGTTGCGTTTTTTGTACCTGAGAGCATATTTAAGAAGTTTTTAATAGTTTAGTTTATTTAATAAATATTTATGCTTATTTAAGTCCTTGATACAAGCTTGAAAACGTTGATTATTAGCCCACGGCCACACAGAAAGCGTTTTTTGCGTTTTTAGCGTGAAGCGTCTTTTGCGACTAAAACAAAATAGCAAAATTATATAGCAGTGGCCCCACCAAAAGCGTGTAGCGTTCGGCGTGTCTCAAAAAACCCAAATGAAAACAAATCTAATAATAATAAATTTAATAATACAATAAAAATAAATTAAATAGTATGCATTTTTTTAGAGTATTTTCTCAAAATATTTTTATAGAGAACATTTACTGTTTAGGAAGATTCTATTAAATTCAAAAATTTTAAGGAAATGTTGGAAAAAGTGTAGTTTGAAATGTTGAAAAAGTAATAAATTAAAGGATTATTTTTTTACGCGTAAAAAATAGTTTTTATCGTAAAAAGTGTTTAGTTAGGTTAGTTTTTTGGCGTAAATTTTTTTTTTACCAGAAACAATTTTCAAGTGTCTTACATATAAAAAATTATTTTTTTTGCGTAAAAATGGTTTTCTGTCAGTAACAAATAGTTTTATACGCGTAAAAAATAGTTTTTTACGGGCAATAAATAGTTTTATACGCGTAAAAAGTAGTTTTTGGTTTGGTTTGTAACAGTTTTATTCGCGTATAATAAAAAAAAAATAAAAATAGTTTTTTTGCGTGTAACATACAGGGTGTCCCAAAAATAAGTGCAAATATTTTAACTGGTAGTATAGTTCAACCCCAGAAACACGTCTATGAGTTTTTTTCGCGAAAAACAAATTTTGAATATTCGGAATTTTATGAAATTTTTTAGGATTTTTTTTTTAGTTTTTATTTAAAAAAAAATAATTTCTTGATAATATGGCAACATAGGTAGTAGATTAAATTTACAAGAAAGAAAATCCAAAAAAGATCCAGAGGTTCTCAACATTTTAGCAAAAAATCATTTTTTTGAAAATTTTCAAACTAAAATTAGTCCGTTATTTTGGACTTATTTGAAAAACGATAAAGAGAGAATATGTTTCTTTTATCGAGATCTACCACCCCTTAAAATATTTGCACTTATTTCTGGGACACACTGTATAGTTTTTACGTGTAACAAATGGTTTTTTACACGTGATAATTTGATTCACTTTTACAAAAGTTGTATTAAAATATCAATATTTTTGATAAACACGTGGACTGCTCACAAAAAATATACTACGTTGCGTCACTATGTATTTCTAAGCCGTTAACAAGTTTCGTTACAACTAGCTCGTATGTCACGGTTTTGAATTTTTACTCCCAGCGCGCATAACTTCAAAAAGTTTCATAAATCATGTCCTAAAATTGCCTTAGCAGCTAGTAATAATTATTATATATTCTATTATATAATTATAATTATTTATTATATTATAATTATAACACACAAGTAACCACAAAACTACAACATAAAAAATCTACACACAAATAAACTACAATTCGTAAAATAAATGGCAAATAATAATTATTTTTTTACACACACCACCGGCACTATCAGCAGATTACGTTTGCCGCCAAATATATGCCCCGGCCCGTTCAACGATCGATCTGAGCATATCTTTATATTCGTCTCTTCAACGCTAACCGCGCCGATCTCGCCTATCTCTTTCTCATAGGATTGATTGTTGAACGGGCCGGGAATCCACGAGCTTGCGACGTTACTAATTGACATCTTGATAGAAACTGCAGACCTGGCGCGCCGCTTCTTTTGCGTGTTTTTAATGGAAACAAATTAAAAAAAACGCTTCAAAAGGTAAAATCGCAAAGGCGCTTGACACGCAAAAAACGCAAAACGCAAAAAACGCTTTCTGTGTGGCCGTGTGCTTATTGTTATACCGCAGTTTTAAACTCATCGTTAAACTTAATTGACTGTTGTATAACTATGCATTAACGTCCTTTTTTCAGATTTTGTAACAGCCCAGTTCCAATATTATCTACCATTGGCAGCGATGATCATGGTAGAACTAAAGTCGATGGACTAACAATGGATGCTGCAAATTCCGGTATTTTTTCGCTAAAATCCATACCGCGAGTGCCAGAATCGTATCGAAAAATAAACGGTTTCTTTCTTTTATAATTTGCCAATTTTTTGATCGTGTACTATTTCTATTTAGAAGTTTTTCGTCTGCTTTATTTGTCGTAGAGAAATTCATGTTTTATGGGATTTTTTTTCTAAAGTTTGTAATTGTCGTTTTGAGTTGAACAAAATAATCGAGCTGGGCTTTTTCAAACTATGTAAAATATCGTTTTAAAATAAAAAACAAACATTTAATTATAAAAATTATGTTTATGTACTAAAAAAATCCTTTTTCCATTTTAATTGTGTTGTTCAAAACAAAACGATTATTATTTTTTTATTTGTTAGCAATAAAACTGGGTCCGATTTTTTTTAAATATTGTTTTTTAACTTATTGAAGTAATATTATGTATTTAATTTGAATTTTATAGTTATTTTAATTGTAATTATTAAAGACCCGGTTTTAACAGGGCAACCATCCATAAAAAATGGTACGAATTTTATTGTTGGTTGCTATACATATTTTTTTCTCTTCTCGAAGAAAATCCTCAAAAAAATCTATTCCATTTTTCATTGAGTAAAAGCTCAGGTACATATGTGGTGAGGAGAGGTTAATTGCGCGTGATGAAGGTGTGTAAATAGGTAAGTCGACGGTAAGTTTTGGTGAACGTTCATTTGAGTCAAGGCTGTGACTGGCGCCTTGCCTGAATGGATAAGTGGGGGATGTTTGGATGTCGGCGATTTTTCCGATGCGCGGAAAATCAAGTTCGGTTCTCTGCGCATCGGAACGTGGCCGACGCGGCGCGTGATGTATTTCAGTTGAAGTCGGCGCTTTTTATACAAAGCGCCGGCTTGGGGCGGGAAAATAACTTAAAAAAATCAAGAATCTGTGATTTGGACGGGTTTCTGTAAAACGTTGCCAAAATTATAGTAATACGATAATTCCATTACCATTTTTTACAATAATGTAAATCGATACAAAGAAACCCTTCCAAGATAAAAGTAATTATAATTGTAAGAAATTGTAATTACTGATTCCTCGTATGTATGTGATATATAAGGCTGCGGTGGTTACAGTTGAGAAAATTGCCCAAAGATATCAAAGTGGTTTATGAGATGATTTACTGAAAATATTGCGTATTTATTTTCTTTATTAAAACCTAAATCTTATAGAAAGTTATCTTATTTTATATTATTTATTTTTGCATTAAAATAACATCAGGTATACTACACTAACCAGCACGAAAAACGGGCGCCTTAAAATGTTGATATATTTTCTTCTAGTGGACCGATTTTGATGATTTTTAAGCAATATGCAGTTAAATTATTCGGTTTCTTAGTATCTCTTTCTAAATCAAAAATGAAATTTCCCATCTGTCAAATATACGAGGAAAAACAAAATGTTGATATTTTGGTGAAAGTTTGAACACCCTGTGGAATATGTTAAGACAGCAAGGAATTTAAAAATAATTCTATCATCTAGATACATCCTTCCTCGATAGTTTGCTTTTTGGTTCATCTCAATAGCTTTATTTTTGTTGGAGATATTCGCTTGTGAAGAAGACACTAACATTTTTTCATCATTTTTACATTAAAACCATCCCTTTGCTTTTTGGTCCTAGTGAACAAACCTGTTGTGGTCTCGAAGTAGGCCTTCTTGACATAAGATTTGTTTCGTTTAATCTTCTTTTTAGAGTCCGTTCACTAACATGTACGTTCCTTAGGTGCAATTCATTATAAATTTGAAAAGCTTGCAAACGGAGGTTTCTTAGCGATAAACTTACAATAAGTCGATGGCGTCGATTGGAAGTTCTCATATGAAGGTTCCTGGATGTCGGGCATATGAACTTGTCTAGAGCAAGCGACTGCACTACAGTGAAGTATACTTCGTGCACACCTAAATCTGTTAGGAACATAATTTTGATCTCTACGATCTTCAATTAAAACAACTATAGCGGATACAACTTGAACTTAAAACCATCTCCGCCAGAGTAACTGCTCAACAGCCAATAGACAATAATTTTCAATAACAGTGGCTTACATAAATTATAAAAAATATTGCATAGGTCTGATGACTGGGACGAAAAGCAAATGCATGGTTTTAATGTAAAAATTACGTAAAAATGTTAGTGTCTTTTTCAGAGGCGAATATCTCCAAGAAACTAAGGTATTGGAAACGAACAAAAAAATAAACTATCTACAAAAGATGCATCTAGATGATAAAATGATTTTTAAATGCCTTGCTTTTTTTCGCATATTCCACAGAATGTCTCAAACTTTCACCAATATAACATTTTGTGTTTCCTCTTATAATCGACAGCCGGGACTTTCATTTTTAAATTAGAAAGAGATACTAAAATGTCAAATAATTTAGCCACAAATTGCTTAAAAGATTATAAAAATCAGTCCACTAGAATAAAATATATAAAGCTTCAAAATACATCAAAATTTTAAGGGTCCGTTTTTCGCACCGGTGCGCGGTGAGTGTATAATACTTACGTATACAGGGTGTTTCAAGACAAATGCGAAAAACTTCAGGGGGTGATTCCTGTTTCAAAATAAAGGGTAGTTTGCTTCATAAACGTTAGGTCAAAAGTCAACCATTAGGGAGATATCGCGGTAGAAAGATGACGGAAAAATAATGTTTTTATTTTTTATCTTGAAAACGAAAAGAGATAGACTAATAAAATTTTATGGAAGCATTGCTGTTATGAAAACACACTTTCTGGTAATTTTTTCACTTTTTTAAAATGAGTGGAAGGGGTGAAATAAACTACCTCTATCATTTTTGTTAACGAAATTTTAAAAAAAATTATCAAACATGCAAAAAAATTAATTTGATAGTTTAGTTTGTTTAGAAACTTTTTATCTCTGCATTTTTTGATAAACTCACCGATTTGAAATTAAAAATAAAATGTAAAGCATTGCATGCCAGGACAAAAAAACATTTTCTGATAAAGAATCTACTGGGCTGCTGTAATTTTTTTAGGAAAAAATCTAGTCGGCCGCTGTTACTTTTTAGGATGTTCCTAATATTATTTTATTTCACATTACTCTACTGCAATACGTTAATATCTAGATGATTATTATTATCGTTATTATCACTAGATTCTTAATCTAAAAATGTTTTTTGTCCTGACATGTAATGCTTTACATTTTATTTTTTAATTTCAAATTGGTGAGTTTTATCAAAAAAACACAAGAGATAAAAAAGTTTCTAAACTATCCAAATTAATTTTTTTGCATGTGTTTGATAAGATTTTTCTTTAAATTTCGTTAACAAGAATGATAGGGGTAGTTTATTTCAACCCCTTCCACTCATTTTAAAAAAGTGAAAAAATTACCCGAAAGTGTGTTTTCATAACAGTAATGCTTCCATAAAATTTCATTAGTCTATCTCTTTTTGTTTTCAAGATAAAAAATAAAAACATTATTTTTCCGCCATCTTTGTACCGCGATATCTCCCTAATGGTTGACTTTTGACCCAACGTTTATAAAGCAAACTACCCTTTATTTTGTACAAGGAATCACCCCCTAAAGTTTTTCGCATTTGTTTTGAAACACCCTGTATAATGGAAAATAACCATCCATATACTTACGTATATTGTACATGTACATTCCTTAATATTTTTTTAAATTTTTTATGCAACAATTAAATTAATAGTGAATTTAAAAATAATTAAGTTTTAAAAAAGTTTTGGAGTATCAGAACTATATCATATCATAATTTTTAAATCATCACTTACAGTTCATATTAATACAAATTTACTTTTTCTTTTGTATGGAATTTTGAGCTTTGTTGGATAACTGACACAAGATTTCTAAATATTTAATAAAATTCGGAATATGAATCTAGATTGAAAGTAGAAACCAAAGATAATTCACAAAAGAGATTTTTTTTCATCTACACATTTATTTTTTTGTTTGAACTTTATCAGTAATTTACATTGTTGGTTTATATTGTAGGAAAATTATTTCGGCTGTGAATATAAGGGCCTGTTATTTACTCTTATTTCAATTTTAAAAGTCCAATTTTAACATATCTCGAACGAAGAGGGACTTATGAACTTTTCAGTAAATCGGTAACGTAAAACAACGTAAAGGTACAAAACAATTCACATTCCATTATAAGAGTATCGCAATCGAAAACAATTACAAAAGAAACTAATCAAGCCGCGTTGGCTCTATTTTTTTACTTTTTTACCGACTTAGGGCATAGAAGATTCTCGACTCCAACCGCGGCTGTTTAAAAAAGGCTGTATGAAACTTAGTATGTAAGCATGTATGAGTCGTTATTTTGTATGTAAGTTTGTAAGTATATTTTTGAACTTTTTTTTTAATTTAGATCTATAAGGAGTTTTTCCACGCGACAAGAATGCAGGGCCTAAAATATTATCATTATCATTTTTAACAGGCGTAATTTTGATGGCGATTTGGATATTATCGATTCTATTCGGAAACTGTTGAATTTTTTTAATACAGAACAAATAATTTGATCTACTTTTGAAATTGCCTTTATTGATCCCTATGACAATATTTGATTAAAAAAAAGAATTTTAATTGATATAAAATACTGTGTCTAACATAAACATATATTTTATTATTTTAAGTAACATTTTTATCAATCAAAATCGTTTTTAATTCAAAATATGGCTATAACGTAATTTGTAATAAAAATTAAAAAGGTTTAAATGTTAATAAATGATATAGGTATACCGATTTGGTTATCGAAACGGTGCGGTCTGGATTTTAACGTGTAAGACAGCGATGACAGCTCAATGGAAAATCAAACGGATCGATACATTTCTTCTATGCGGTATTGCCGGATTTTGCATTAAAATTTCAAACTAGTACAAGTAGGCGTTTACGAAAAATCTTGCATCTAGAGTTGGATCTTTATTTTTCACTATTAGTTACTCATTTTACTACAGCTGTAATAGATTATATTTAGCTTAGATATATTTCCTTAATTTCAGTAGTATACATGAACGTTTTTAAAATAGCATATATTTTTCTACACACATTTTCTTAAAACGTAAAAAAACGGCAACACTGTATGCCGTTTTTTATTCTGCCTCTCTCTCTGTCAACCGGTTATTTAGATTATTCTCTTTCACACACATTAAAATCCAGACCACATAGTTTCGATGACCAGCAGGATAGATCATACCAAATAAACTTTTAGTCACGTGATTAAGCTTGACTGACACACAGCGTTGCCAAGATTTACCTATTTTCTTTTAATCAAAATATCTTAGGAAACAATGAATTAATTATAAATATATAAATCGTTATTATTCACATTAACAAAACTCGTCTAACACATAAAGTGCCATTATTACCGCTTTCCCGTTCAAATATTTGAATAAGGTTGCGATGAGTTTTTTGCAACGGCTGTTAGGCTGTTTTGGCATCTTGTACACTGCGCACTATTAGCGGTTCTAAAAAGAACAATTTTCGACTAGTACAAAATTTTAAGCTTAAAGTATCACAACACAATTCACTTTAACTAAAAATTCGTAAAACTAAAGTGTCAAAAGGAATCAAAAATGCCAGGAAATATATAAATAAATATGGCAACTTGACATTTTTTACAGCAGAGCTACCACCTGAATCGCCAGCGGGAGATTTAAATTCCAGTTAGTCAGCCCGGCTCTCAATATGTCCGTGGTTGGCAACAATGAATTTAATAATCGCTCCTTTGATGACGTAACTAAAAGTTTATTTGGCATCGATTATATATAAATTGTTTTTTTTTCCTTTAACGATATTACACTTTATCTTACAGACTTGTGTATTATATTTTATATCTGGTAGTTCTGGCTTCCTAGTTGGACAGACTATATTATACTAAACTAACCTATTTTTAATGGATAATCTTATTTACGTTTATATACTAGCATATTTCTATTGGCATCGTACAAAGGCAATGCTTAAAATTAATCTAAATTAAATCAATGTAATTATTTTTGGGGTTTATATATTTTTTCACTTTATATACTGGGTGGTCCGAACTATATTCCGGAAACAATAATATATTAAAAACAAGTAAAAAAGTTCATATAAATATATGTCCCCAAATGGTTAGTTTCGGAGATACAGGGTGTAGAAGTTTCATTTTTAATTCGATTTTTTCCAAATAAGTAACGCCAATATTTGGATGAAAATTGCTGTCTGGGGGTTTTTTAACATGAGAAAATGGATTTTGATGACAACATGACTCCTATTTGTAGAGGGCGCCTCCTACATTTTTTTTAACTGGTTTGAAGAGTAATAACTTTTCGTTCATACCCATATAAAACTACTGAGTAAAAAATATACATTTACGACGTTTATTACGTAAAAAGGCCTCTTTGTAAAAATCGCTATGAGTAATATGGTTCTCGAGA